ACATTTATACACCATCGTGATTCAACTTTATGTTTAATAGTTTCACAAAGTGAATGTACAATAGTGAATGAAAATAGTGGTACATTATCAAAGTTATTATTGTACACCCCTCCATAACTACATATGCTACTAGACGTAAGCATAGAACAACACCAGTGGCTAATAAAATTACTAAAATCTACTGTATTTCATTTTTATAGCGATAATTAAACTATACATAGAAAATTAGTCAAAGTAACAGTGCCAGTGTAATTGCTTTCGGTTAGCAAATTAATTGATAACTCATAAATAGGAAATCACTAAGGCAGAACATGACTTCTGTTACCTTTTGAGATGAAAAATATTTATAGCTTAGGAGGATGATCATTCCATCACTTGATCACACTTACAGTTTATCAAATCTATGCAAATTGGAGAATTAAGCAAATCTGTTAAAGTAGAAAACAATCAACTATTTCCTTTTAGCATGACTGACTGACTTATTAACTCAAAGACAATATGAACTGATAAACTATACAAATAAGTGGACGCTCCATCAAACAGTCCAGTTTTTTATGCAGAAGTTAAACGATATCGTCTATGAAAAATTAATTTCGAAATGAAGTACAATCTAAACTACTAAATTATTTCTTATCAGGATGTTAAAAAGATAGACTACAAGCAGTTTGATCGGCAAGTACCTAGCGAATTCACAGTTAAACCTTACACAACCGGATATGAATAAATAGATTATTCTGCCACCAGCTTATATGTACATCGATATGATCTCCCACAAAAAGAATCACCTAAATTACAGTTGTATGATAAAGCATCCATGAGTATCTGTCATACCATTTATATAACAGACAATATGAAATGTTAATTTAGAGAGTTGCTCAGTATGTGTAGAATATTCCTCTGTCTTCTTAGTTGATACATTTCATGGAAAGTTTGGGTTCTGTTATGGTGAATAAAGCTCCAGCCTTGTATACATTGATAAACATTTACTGGTTGCTCATCAATGTACATATCATATTCCACTAACTATTTGTTATCTAGAGGTCAGACAATAACTAACTTAGTCATATGTTTTTCTTTTACTGTTTATGAATAGGTTTGTTGTATTACGAAGTATATACGAGTAATTATCTAGCTAGAAGTTTAGTATCTCGATATTTCATTCAGTTGTGCTTTGATAATACTTGCTTAGAGTAAGTTGATATTACCAAGTTGTGAATGAAGCATACCCTACTTCAGCTATTCAGAGTATTGGGCAGTTAACTAGATATTATCTGGATATTTTAGTTCACCCACGTTACAATTTCAACACAACCTTTTCCAAAACTTTACACTCAACTCGAATACTCATTCTAAAAGATTACAATAACACGTTAGAGATGTAATTAAAGGCATCGGAGATCAAATAATCAAGCAATTACAAGAACCATTTCCAATTTCTGTAACTGACAGCAGTTGGACACATCTATACCTACTTCAAACGAAGAATCTGCTGTCATCGCAATGAAAATTCGATCACTTATTTAACTAGCTCAGAAAATGCAAAACCATAAGAAATACTGCTTAGTCAAGAATTTAAAAGAAATATTAATTGAGGTGAGACACACTAGCGTTGAAAGTTTGGCTAAATATTTCGTGCGTATTCGTAGTGTAACAAGACAGTTCGAATAAACATTCCAACTACATTTACCCTCAACATAAAAAAACTACAGTTGCGCAGAGAATGTATCGGAGTTTTGTAGAGTGTATTCACATAAGTCTACAGTTGCATCAAAATAAACAGTAACTTATAGTTCAAGGTGCGTATTTCGCCCTATTTAGGATATATCGGCCGGATATACCTGCACCTCAGTGAGTCATATTGTTCCAACTAAGACCAAAACCGAGCACTTATCGCTTCAAATGCAGCTATCAATAAATGATAATAACTGATAACCATTGCACAAGAGGTGTCTATCTTGCCTTAGTGGCTTAGTAGATAACGCTTCGTTATTTAAAGTGATGGGTACTAGGGTTCAGGTACACCCAGCTGATGAGCCCCAGATAGGATGAAACGTGAGGCCTAGATTTCAATGCTAGCCATCAGCAAGAAAATTATAACAACGAATAATCATGCAATATTGAAGTATGGGTATAGGAGCCCAACAGAGGTCAATCAATTCATTCCAGGATAACAACGGAAAATTACAAGTACCAACTAATTACAATAGTACACTTATTTTTCAACGTAATGAATTTTTTCAAAACAAACAAAAATTTTCCCGAATGCACTGATCTTGTTATCAGTGTAGAGTGTAAGTTAATTATAAATTTTCTACTGAATAAGTGTATACAAATAAAATTATCTATATTATTAATTTTCAGTATTTTCTCTTTTCATAAATAAAATAATAATAATAATACTATTATGCATATAAACTATGTGTGAAAAAAAGGTGAATACAATACGAATCTAAAACCAGATAAATTCTGAAAAGAATAAGCAGGTTCCCAATATTTTTTGAAGTATGAAAATTTTATAGATTAAATGCCAAAGTTGAGAAAATGCTTAGTAACAGATGTTAAAATTTGCTTTGGTTCAAAGCATAGTAAAAGGATACTAAGTGATATAAAAATATAACATACCTCAAATTAACTCCATATTAGCACACAAGGATACATAGTATTATCATCTGGATGACGTTTCGAACAGAATTTATTACTTATATTCATTTCAAAGTAATCATACGACTTTCAAACTGTTGAAAGTTGCGTGATTACCTTGATATGAATATGAGTAATAAATTCAGAACAGAACATCATCCGATAAAATATACTGTGTATCCTTGTGTCCTATATATCGTACAAACAACCTAACATGGAATTACACTCTACCACAGTGCTCAAGTTTACATCTTACATTATTACCTCAAATAAGTCTTAAAGGGTTTAAAATTTCAGAACAACTATACAATGCACAATGCCAGCGATAATGAACAAATACAATAATTTGTGATAAGTTCCCATGAAAAATATGAGTTAAAGAGAATCTCTTTCAAATGTTATGATGCGATGATTGTTGTGCTAAAAAAAAATTGGAATTTGACCCGACAATGAACCCCTAAGGATATATATTAAAGCTTTTAAAGATTCAACAAGTGAATATGTGAGAAAAAAAATCGAATATTGAACAGTGTACATAAACTTGGTACAACCTGGACACCAAGGAATGCGCCATACAACTAAAACCTTAGGAAGGCAAACACATGATATAATAATAGGGGGGAAATAACGAAAACTAAAACAGGAATAGGTTACTAAAGAAGCATTCGCAAGCACATACTCAAACAAGTATTCACTAGTTTCCTTTTACTTTCAAGTAATAAAAAGAGAAGGAAACTGCAGCATAATTCATACTGGTTTCGATTCTGCTACCATTCCAAAAACCACTAAGTTTCATAATCTCCCGGACCCCATTCAGAGAGCCGCAAGGCATCTACATAAGCTAACTCAAGATAATAACCCTTCCTCCCACGCTGCTATGTCATATAGCGCAAGCGAAAGATGAGCCCCTGAGATGACATTCGTTACATAAGGCCCAACCCTTCGGAGTCTATATTTCAGGATGACCACAGTCAATGAATGACGATCTCCATAAAGCTCAAACATGGACAGCCTTATCTCATAATTACCTACATAGTGTTTCCACTAGATGCGAGCAATCTTACAGGGATAGCGGTGGTGGAGTACAAACTTCTCGGACACCAACAGTTAGAAGAGGTCAGGTTTTGCACGTGTAAAGCAGAACTTTCAGCACCGACGTACTGTATACCTGACCGTTCACAGACAGTCTGAAATTAAGACATCAGCAAGCTGATCCATATTGAAGCATGGCATCCTGGCTTTCAATACAATGCTAGAAATCCTGTCAGTCATACCTCCACGAGCATTCACACAACTAAGCAGATAAGTAAAATTCTCGACTAATTCCAACAATTCACTACCACGAGTAAGTGCAGGTACACCAATCATGTTGACAACATTGTAATTTGATGGCGTGAAGCAAATATCATACTTGAAGACCCTGACTGTTAACTGATTATATGCGACTTGGGTAGCCTGTATGTTATCGTACAGTAAAACGATATCCTCCAAATACTTGTGGTCGAAAAGTATTTCACCTGGTAGTAGGTCTTTATCACAACTAAAGAACTTTTTCACAGTTGTATGTAGGAAATCACATAAAGAAGGTGAAGAGGAATGAAGAAATAGGGTAACCCTGCCTAACCCATCAGTGGTTTGAAATAATGGTGGTGATTGGTTGTAAGCCTTCACCCTGCCTGAGATGTTAAAGTGAACTGCTTTCAAGATGCTGCAAACTTCTCAGAGACAAACCTATCTAAGGGACAATCCCAGAGTACAACCCTGTTCAGATAATCGAAAGCAGCCTCGGTATTTAAAAACACAACGATCGCTGGCCTGTGATACATGTTAAGGTACCTAACCATCTGACGGGGAGCGGACACTTGATCAATGCACTCGAAACGTGAACTAAACTTGACCTGCTTTTTGTTAAGCGGTTTTTTCAAGCGTCTTGCAGGGTTTGCGAAGTATAGCAGTCAATACTGTATACGCTACTGGTAACAGAATGATACCCCGGTGATTATCATACATGGTCCACAGATAAGTACAAAAATGAAATAAAGGGCAGTCTATACAAGAATACGACTACAGAACTATGAAAATGAGATTTTCACGATAAGAATTTCTAGCCGAAATCTCTATTTCATCTCTATGTTGGTAATAAGAATCCAAACAAGGTGATTCTTTAATATAATGAATAGTGGATTATGAGGATTACGCATGATACTCTGTAGATGCTATTAGCTTAATTACACACAAACCTTCTAACAGACAGAAGCATTTACAGAATCACTCGTTGAGAGCATCTTTTAATTAGTATTACACAATAACTATTTAAATACATGTTATTTCACTGCGGAATAAAAATGGTTTACACTTACCTTCATTCCAATAACCATAGGATTCATTCCATCAAACGGAATCATTCGAGTTGCTAATTCCCAGAGTATAATTCCAAAGCTCCACATATCCGAAGCTTCAAGATTGATTTCACTAGCCTTCTTTTGTAAAGCTATGAATAAAAATATCAAAGATTGTTAAGACAATTCACAAGCGATTAATTTTTATGCATTAAAAATCCATATCTAATGGATGACAGGTTTTTGTCGATCGAGACTATATTTTCGAACAGTGCATTAATCATTGGCAATGTATGTAACTACGATATTAAGCAATGAGTATTCCACCTTCTGAAATAGTATGAGAGTATAAGAATTGGGTATTTAGTTATCAAGGCCTCAGTGCTCATCGAAATCCAGAAACCTAGATCCAAGCTATTCTGTAAAAAAACTACATATATTCAACACGGTATAAATTTCTTTAAAGTTGTAGAGAAGCCTTAATGACGACTTCCACACGCAAGCATGTAACATAAACTGGAGACTTTAGGCCGGCTGCTTTCGAGCACCTAACAGGCTACATTTCTACTTGTGGACCATAATACTGTAGCCCATCAGCCACGCACAGAAATGCGAATAATACTCTTCTGGTTGACCTTCCAAATTGAGTTTGATGCAGCAAGTAGGAGGCTTCAGTCCATTATTAGGGAGGTGAGTAACTATTTTAATCAAGTGAACAAGAATCATTAGAAGAATATTGTATGTAAGATATTCTTTTAAATTGAAAAAAGCTTTAGTGTAATGTGGTACACATACATTCAGGAGACATCCAAGCGGGATTGTATTCTCGAGCTTTTTCATGAAATGAAAACTTATAATCTGCCATGTCCAAACGAGCAATCAAAGATTCATCAGCTGTAGGTGAAGACTGCATATTCTGTCCATGTGCGGCAACATCAGTATCCCAAACACCAATTTTGGCAATATCTTCATCTACCTACAATTAAATAAGGGTAAGCAATTCATGTGAGTAAAGCTCTTACACCGTTGATTGAACGCTGGGTTGATTTCACAGATAGATAACACCGAATTTGATTAAATCATTACCCTGATACAGCTGAAAACACGATACTCCTATAGTGAAGTTACGCTTCAATTCTGTGAGAGATTTCGATTAAACAAATCAGAATATAGACTAAAATTTTACTTATGTAAGAAATTAATAACTAAACAGGGTTGACAGATGAGGTGAGTGAAATAAGGCAAGTTTACTGGGACTACCATTGAAGGTATACACGGAAGTATAAACAGGGTGAAACGATTACATTTTCGCTTGGTGAATACACACATTTACGAAGGAAAAGGTGGAAGTTAACCAATAATTTATGAAACAAAACTCTTATCAACTTATTTAACCCTTTTTATAGAATCTCACATACCTAATTTAACATTTTCATGTGTGATTGGATCAGTCAAAATATAAGGAGCTAATACGTCATATAATTCGATAATGTTTATTTTCTTGCTACGGGAATATAATGTTTCAAGTTTCTAACTAATGATTGTTTCAACGTCAGTTTAATTAGTTGATTATCGTACGTAAATCGATTCTTCTACGACCAACCTGTTTCTTGTAGTATAAGTGAAATTTTCTAGGGCATTAATCAAAGGTGTTTGATGCTTAGGTCTAAGTGAAAGAAGCCCTCCAATACTTTTACCAGCAGTAGTCAATAAAGTTCACCTAGAAATTTAAGCAAATTTCGAAATAAAAAAAGTGGGGATATCACAAAAATGGACGTCTGTAGACACCACCGAAGATTGACACAATACATATTAGCTTTCAGAGAAGACCCTGGATAGAGCGAATTATAGATTAAGTTAACACGAAAAAAGTTATTTATGCGTTAGAAATTATGAATTCTTGGTGTTTCCAACTATTGAACCCATTCATGTCGTTAAGTATTGATTCTTAAAACAAAAGAAAATAACATGAGCAGTTAAAGTTGTTTTCAGTCAAACAACATTTATTGATCAGTATGTCGTGTAATATTCTTAGTTTATCTACAGACGTACACTCCTACTCATTACTACGATTAACACAAACTGTAGACAACATAAACATCACGATATGTATGACAATGAATAACAAAGAAAGTAGGCGTAGTGAAGTAACATAACTGTTTCATCTCATAGAGTCATACAATGAGCTAACCACAGCCTTACTACTTTTAATTAGTTCCAGTGTCAGTAAACAATAACCAGTGTTAAAACTGTTATGACAGCATGTCTAAGGCTCATATAAGTTATAGCCACTACTTACTAGCTTGTCGCACTACACTGAAAGAAAACTCCTAATACTAAGGGTATCGGTAAAAAGTATTAGAATTCCACTTCATGTGTGTAACAATTACGTAACTTAAAATGGTTTATATACTTATGTACTAAGCTATGAGCCTCACTTGTGTGAGGTATTATGATACTAGCCAATAGTTCAGGTAAGGGTAAACAGAGTGCAGTTCGAGTTCAAAACTTACTGCTTGAAAAAAGAATGCTTAAACCAGTGAGCCATAGCTCCGTGTGTGAGGGATGGTTAAATGGCTGTGACTCAACTTGTACATCTTCAGAGTATATTTACGGCAAACAATATACTTTTTTACTGACTTCATAAAATACAGTTCTTACTCGAAAGAAATATAACACTGGATACTCAACAATAATTCACAATTATAAGATGAAAATCAACCAAAGGACAGAACACTGAATTGGTAAATTCATAATTTTTCAGCAGAATCCTAAAGACAACTATCTTGACAGTTGATTAAAACCCTGAGCTACTAAACATTCTCCACCGAAAATATTGCATAACATTACTCATTTGAACTATATTTTAAGCATTCAAAAGTGTCACTAGGTGATATCATGTCCTCTCGTGCATTTATAAATTGCGTTAAACCTGTAGTTTTGCAAGTTTACAATAAAATTGAAGGGAAACACCACGGTGGATAGCAATAGGCTTTTGAGAGTACAAACAGAAAATAATACAACTATTTGTGACACAACACGAACCGCAGATTTTCCTGACAGAAGAATGGACCCTCACAGCCAAACTTATTCAATTTCAACTTGCTCCCCTGGAACGGTGCATCTAAAGGATACAAAAACACCTGAGAGTAGCTAGTCACTAAGTGCTACTGCTCATAATACCGATATTATTAACATTACTTAGGTGTTACAATTGTTCATTTGAAGACATTCTACAAGGAGTAAATTAGTTGGAATATTACATGTTGAGAAATATATATGCATCAAAATATTACCTGCAATTAAGTGACTATTATTACTAATATTATTTAATTAGGCAAATGGGTGATAACTACAGGTGTGGTGAACGTTTCTGATAAGAATGGATATAAGTAGTGTATGTCGAGAGGGTGGCAGAAACCATAGGCAATTACCAGCAATGGGTAACGATTCTGCCCAGAGAAACGCAAGAGACAACGCAGGCGTATTAAGAGCAAAGAAAGATAGAAGCAAAAGAGGAAATGAAGCACACTTTGCAAATGACTGTCTTAGTGCAAGATGTACCATATTTGACGACTACTGTACCATATGTTAGTAACAAACATTTCTCACTTCGTCTATCTCGTTTCCTATAATTGGCGTCGCTGCTTCTGGATATGATGAAGATGCCGTGGCATGCAGTGTTCGAGGATGGAGACATTAAGGTCTTCCTCAGGGACTTCAAGTTGGTCACGAAGCTGGTGGGTGTCCGGGATGTAGGAGTGAAAGTCGTGGTGAGTGGCACGTTGTTGAGAGGGCGAATGAGAGTGGCGTATGACGGCATGGAACATGTTGATGGGAAGGAGACTAGGGAGACAATGGTTGAACGCCTGGAGATAGAGTTTGACAGTCCGGCGGACAGGGAGCTGGCGATGCAGCATTTCCGGAGCACGAAACTTGGAATAGATGGAGATCCGCTAGCAGTGGCTGTGAAGTTGACTAAACTACTTCGATGAGCACTTCTTACTTTGGATGACGACTCCAAGGAACAGTTGCCGGCTTCATAGTTCACCGAAAGTGTCCCGAATTCCATCGCCCAGCAGTCACAACTATTCAACGCAGCCCAATCCGTGAATATTAGTGAGCTGACCAAGGTCACCAGACAGCTAATGGGTACAGCAGTAGCTGAGATAGTCACCAGATGTAAGTAACTGGAAAAAACAAATCCACAGCCTTCAGAAAGAGGTGGCTGCACTTCGAATCAATATCAACAGACAAAGCAAATGCTTTGCATCCGGAAAGCTGGGACACTGGCGAAGAAACTGTTCAGAGGCGAAAAAAATAACGTTTTGAACGAAATAATATGAGTTGTTTTTCCGACTAGACTAGATGTTGTAGGAGCCATAGATACAGGTGCTGTGTATGCTAGAATCCGAATAAATGATCGGGAGATCGTATGTCTAATAGATACGGGCACGACAGTCTCACTGATAGATAAGAGTCATATAAGTCACATAAGACCATGTGCGCTAACGGTCCACACGGTTGGGGGACACGCATTAGAAATCGCAGGCCTATTAGATTGTGTCGTCGAGATCGGAAGTCGGGAAATGAGATTTCCATTCATTGTGACCACGCGTCTACAATGGACAATCCCAGGTGCTGATTTTTTGAGAGAAGTGGGTACACTTATTGACACCAGAATAGGAATAGTGGCGATGAAGTACGGGTCGTTCACCACGCAGGAAAACAGCGAGGTAGCAGAGGTTGGGATATAAAAAGCAACACACCCAGAAGCGCCAGACATCATGAAGTTGGTTAAGAAATACGACAGATTGTTCACGGGAGATGGAGACCCCTACGGATACTGTGACAAGGTTCAGCATGAAATCCCAGTGACAAGTTAAACAATGGTAACATTTATAACACGGCGAATACCATGTCACTTGGGAGGAGTTGGGTGCCATATTCAGGAAATGCTAAATGAAGGCATTATTAAATAGGCTGATAGCCCATACCGTTCGCCAGTGCTTTTGATAAGTAAGTCCAATGGGAAATATAGATTCTGTGTTGATTTTCGAGAGTTAAATACCATAACGCGACTGAAGCCAACGGTAGCTGAAACACTGGATCGTCTGCAGAATCCAAAAGTATTCACAGTTCTAGATCTGCGATCAGGCTACTGGCAGCTACCAATAAAAGAAAGTGATGAAGAGAAAGCAGCATTTTTTGTGTGCAAGAAGCAATACCAATTCAAACGAATACCAGTGACAGCGGCGGTGATGCGGCGTATTGTCGAGTATCACGGTGTGCCCGTGATGATACTGACCGACCAAGGTCCTTGTTTTGACAGTGAATAATTCAAATCCTGTTTGGAGCAGCTCGATATCAAGAGGATAAGAACGACACCGTACCACCCGCAGACTAGCCAATTGACAGAAGGGAATAACCGTACACAAGTCCAGTACCAAATTCAAAGAGGAAACTGTGACAGTTCTTGGATAAAGCAGCATTCTACAGTCTTACGGTTCCTCAAAAATTTTAACCAAACAGCAGCACCTTTATACAAGTTACTTGGTAACCCCAAATTTATGTGAACAGAAGAGGCATAGAAAACGTTTGGTCACATCAAAGAACTCCTAAATGACCAGGAGATGACCACAGCAAGAATTATGGAAGATCACGATGATACATTGATATATTTTTGTAGCACTAGCACTGGATGATGGATACGATGCATTTCACCAAAAACTATTTGGCGTACTACTAAACGCCAAAAGTACATATATGGTCGTCCTAGCATACAACTTCAAACTAAACAGTGGGGAGACTGTTGAACAGAAAAGTACTTAGGTGACACCTTCGGGATCCTAGCTCAGTGACTAATTAGTGACACTTGCTTAAACTATAAACAAGTAAATATATCTTGCTAGCGAGTACCATTTTTAAAGAAGGACACTATCCAATTGGTATGCCATTAACTTCAGCCGAAAGTAG